GGGGGGGGCTCAACACCTTCCAAGTCTATTTAAGAACACATTTCTCTGTTGGCTGTACTGAAAAGCGTCAATTAAAGGCATAAAAAAAGGGTAAATTTTCTGTGTCCACAGACACTCAAGCTAAGGAAATAACTAAACATTGGCAGCCATTTTCTCAGAAATTTTACCCCTGAGACCAGGTGCAGGTGACCCCCCACCTTTTCCAATAGTAAATATCTCAACTTGTATTCAAGATAAATGGATATTTTTTCATCGAAAGCAAGACAAATGAAAAAGCTTTAAGACCATAACCATAACTCCACATGCCAAAAAATTGACGAGCGCCTGATTTCACCACGTCATGACACATTTATGTACAAAACATCTCCCATGACTTACCTCTCAATGAGATTGTGCAAAGCCTTGAAAAGCAATGTCCGGCACTCATAAGTCAACCCATTGTCTTTGTCTTTGTCTCTGTCCCATGTCCCACTTTCAAGTTCTGTACAAAAAAACAAAAAAACGAGTTTTAGTTCATTTGATAGATGAAACAAAAAGCTATTTTTTCAATGAATTACATTATTACTATAGCTTGTTCATTTTTGTCCGTCCTCATAAAAAAAAATAATTCTAGCTCATTTATTGATTTACCTACGCCCACGAAAAATAAAGCATGACACTTCTAAGTTCTGAGGGCCAGCGACGAAACAAACATATTTTTTAAAATCAACAAAAAAAAGTTTTTCTCTTTAGGCTCTGCATTACTATAACAAAAACCGCTCTGTGGATGCATGTACAGAATTATAACTAAAATAAATGACTCACAGTAACCTTGCCTACAAATTGCTCATTTTGAAAGAGTGACACCACCCTGCCCATTCATTTCAGTGTAAGATAGTAGATTTCATCCCACGGCTGTCTCCCCCCCCCGACGTGAGTCTTGAAAATTACTGACCACATCTCTTGAATCGTGTTTCTTAGGTATATGTTAGAATGTGGTGCTGAGGAAAATAAAACATGTCAACTTTAAAACGTTTAGGTGTATTCTGCTCATCCCCTATTATTATTTTTTTTTACACGCCCTAGGTACACATCAAAGAAAACATGTCAGAACCTTATTTTGCAGTGATCTTTATGAATGGGCTTTTAGATTCTGTTGGACATCCAACTTTTAGACCCGTATGCAAAGATCTGCGAAAATTTAACAGAGCCATTTCCTTTATCTCCTTTTAACCGCAGACGACAGTGAACAAGCTATATATGCATTCGACCTTTTTTACTTTAAAAATGTATTTTGGTTATTGAAGAGCCAAATTAAATTCAACCGGTGGTGCGTAAAGCACTGAATGAAATTTCACACACTTGCGCTGTGCTATGACTACAGCAACAGATGACAAGACACTGCCCTTTATATAATACAACAAAAGTTAACAATGACTTCCTGTAACTTGTAAGAGATTTCAGCATTTAATGAAATAACTCCGATGTTTTAAACAATTTGAAACATATTCTCAGCAAATACTAACCTTTCAAACCCAAGTCGGTGGACAGCGCTTGTCGTAATGACTCTGGCTCGTCTCCATACCAGAAAATCCACAATTCCTTACTGTTGTTGAAGTCTGGCTGGCGCTGCTCAGGATTCCTCTGTACCCGCCGCCAAACACATAAAATGTCGAGGCTTAGGCAGCGTGAGAAACCAATAAGCACCGGATCATCAAGAGGTTCCACATACTCATTTTCTGACGCAAATCTCCGCCATTTAATGCCACACAGGTCAGTCTGAAAAAAAAACAAAAAAACACCAAACAATGATGAAATGGTATGGAGGTTTAATTCCCCCTTAAGGCGGGACCTTCAAGTTTAACATCCATCTACAAAAGGGCCGAGCCAAATAGGAAATTCACGTAAAGTGCATTCCCCAAGAACACAACATCGGACCCAGCTAACACTCGAACCCCCGACCCCACAATCTCCCAATAACGGGTCCAGTAGCCTAACCGCTAGGCTACCGATGCCATAGTCTGAAAACAAGAATCAATTTGCTGATATTAATCTAAAATCTATGGACTAATGCCAAGACTCTGCAACAAAAATATGTTTTTACAGGGAAGTTTTCGAAACATTACATGTTTAATGCAACAAACTGCATATAAACAAAAATGACGTTCATGAACAAACCGAAAAATTAATAATTGTCCAGTCTACCTCAAATTCTACACACAAATATTTTGCAACTGTACTGCTTCCCATAAAACACAGACTCAAAGCTACAAAATCTTTTTAAAGTTGGTAATGGGAAACAAAAAATGAATTGTAATGACATTTGGAATGGACTTATTTGTTATTAAAAGTGACGCACAAAGTTAGCTTAAACTAAATGGCTATTCACATGATAATGGTTTCACTTCTTTGAAACACTGAAAAACAGCTGGAAGGAAAGTATGACTTCAGAATACCCAAGTAACCAAAGATAAGATTTATAAAGATAATAACCAATATCTACTGTCAGAGACACTTTTCTAAAAAATGTTAAATGCACATTATATTCAAAGAGATATTCCACATTTTAAAATTTTTTCACGGGAGTCAATAGTATTAGTAGATCATGATAATTCATAACTTATGAGTGAACATGTACAAAAAATTTGTCATGCAGTGAGTCGGCAACAATGTGAGCACTACAAATGTAGGAATGAATGTAGAAAGCAATTTACAAAAAAACCACTCACAATCCCCCCTGAAATTTTTTTTTACAGGAATGGCCATAGACAAATGTTTGCCCCCCCCCCCCCCCCTCCCCCAATTTGCATTCATTGAGATGAAAGTAGCGCTCGCGGGATGTCCTATAATTTTGTTTTGGATTTTTGTAAAGAATAAATTTTGCTGCTCGATTAGGAGAACTTGTAACTTTGAAAGTTTTTTTTAGCTGCCATACTAGACAAAATAGTATTACAGCAATTCAATTTTGATAAAATCAGTGTTTTTACTATATGTCTTAACTGCTGATAGAGTTAAGGGGGGTGGGGGGCCTACACCCCCAAAGTCAAGATTCGACTCGTAATTATGGAATTTGTGTTGTAGGCATTTTTAGTTTCCTCAGCCTCTCCTACAACTATTTCATCGCATAACAACCCTCCAAAACCGTATTTTCTCCCATACCAGGCATGTTTGTCACCACCATTTCCTCATAAAGTCAATACTTTTTTCTCTCTCAAAACGCGACTTCCCTCTATACTTTTTTGAATAACTCAACCATTTTTCATCCAATCTTCAAGAAATTTTCACAGAATGAAGAGAAGATAAAATACTAAAAATTTGTCTGTTGAATTTTTGATACATGAAATAAATTTTTGTTGGTGGCGTCTGGAGTGTGGATTTTAACAGATTTTTTGCAAACTTGAATGCTACCTCAGGAAAAAATTCATTAAAAATGTTCTAATTCGTTTAGGAGAAAAAACAACAGACAAATTTTTACATCTAATGTTACGCATGCAAAAAAAAAAAACAATCAATTTCCATGAGCAATAAGTGCGGTATTCATTACGTAAGACATGTCAACAAATTCCAATGTGGCCGCCGTATCCATGGAAACGAAACTTTTTTCTCAAATTTGATTCCGGATTTTAAGACTCCTTACTATGCTTGCCATTGTGAAATGTGATAAAATTTGGTCCAGTAATAAGCGAGATAACCTTCGGGTATAGTCCCCTCCCCCCCCCGTAAGCACTTTTGTAAACTGCCAATTTTCTTTAGCTGAAAATAGATACTTTTGCTGAGTTGGCTTATTTATGAGGACTTGATAGACATATAACTCAACAGAATTCCAAGATTTTTAAAAATTAAAAAAAAACAACTAAAGTACTAAAGTAAAGCAATCTTCCCTGCACTGAACCTAGATTTAACCAGCCAAATTAAAAAGCTCTCACAGCTTTCTATGATTGAAAATGTCCACCAGTATAGAGATGCTATAATTTTTTTCCCTTACATATTTCACATCCCCCCCTCCTCTCAATAACACTAAAATTATGCTTTGTGACAAAAAAATTTTTACGGCACCTCATTGAAATTCTTAATTTAAATCCTTGTCATGTGATCCTGTAAGCCTAAAACATAAATCTGGTGAAAGTATTCTGGTTCAGTAAACATTATTTTCTATACATCCCAAAACTGAGCAAGTTTGGAATTTTAAAAATTAAGTCTAGGTGAATTTGGATAAAGTAAATCTCGGGCTTCAGATTTCACTGATAAATGCTTTCAACAATTTCGCTCTCTGACTGTCAATTTCAACTATGAAAACTCCCCTGAAACTTCCTCAGGTGTTTTATTTTCGATCATAAAACTCATTACTCTGTGTGACCATTATATTTGTATTGAGTGACTGTGGCACTTGCCGAAGCAAAGCAAACAAAACACACCCCTATGCATCAGATCAATGGAAGTAAGAGAACAGAAGTGCAGAAAATAACAGTATCAAGGAAATTTGAGGGTCGAATCTTACATTATATAAGCCTTAAATATTATTACTCAAATCTACCAAGTCTGAATATAATAAACCTCCCAAACAAGAAATCTGCCAATTCCACTAACACACATTTATAGCTACTAAAATTGTCCCAAATTGTTTTTAAGAAAATCCCAAACCTTATTACAAACGAAGTGTATACAGACCCGGTAACCGGGAACAAAGTCACGAGGTATTCAGACCCGGTTGTGGAACTCTTTTGTGATTTCGGGAAGTTTCAGCGCTCAGACCCGGTAGAAATCTAGTGTGTGTGTGTGTGTGAGAGAGAGAAAGAGAGAGAGAGAGAGAGAGGAGGGAGAGAGAGAGAGAGAGAGGAGGGAGGGAGAGAGAGAGAGAGAGAGG